AAAAATGCAAATGAAAGGGGAAGAGAGACCAAACAAGCAGCATTATAATCAAACAAATTTTAAAAAAACAAACCACAAAGCAGGTTCAAAGAGCAGGGGAAACAGCAGACTGAGGTCAAGAACATTTTATTTAATATAGTAGAAGCAAATGAAATTTGCATTAGCCTATTATTGGGGAAGAGGGGAGATGCCAACCTTGTCAATAATGCAGAAACAATGCATATTTTCATTCTACTTGGAAAAGAGTACAGCAACATATCAGTATCAAATGAAGATATGAAAGTCCTTTTCAATCTACAAGTAACTGAAGGGTATATTAAATGACTCCTAAAGAGATTAATACTTTAAAATTAGCTGTTCTGGAAACTAACATGCAAGAGTTATAAAAAATTTGCTGAGAGAATCTCTTTGTCACTACTATTCTTGGCAAATATTTGTATATGAAGGAAATCCCAGAAAGCTCCAGAACATCATACATTATGTAAGGCAAATCATTGGAAGCAAATTTTCTACAGTGAATAGGTGATAAAAGTGCCTACTACAGTCTATTGTGTAGAAGTACCAAGCTTTCACATGCAGGTGGGAGCCTGTGTGTGAAGCACAGAAAGCCCAGGAACCCCATAGGAGTCACCCTGAAGAATTGGAAGCCTCTAATCCCCCTGTACAATCTACCATCTATAAATGGGAATAATTCCACCTTCTCATCTCCAAAAGGTCTTATGGAAATGAAGCCCACTGATACAACATTGGTAAGTATACTAGAATCACAGAATTGTTTGTGTTGGAAAGGACCTTAAAGATCCCTTAGTTCCAACCCCTCTGCCATGGGCAGGGACACCTTCCACTGGACCAGGTTGCTCAAAGCCCTGTTCAGCCTGGCCTTGAACCTTTCCAGGCTGGGGCATCCACAACCTCTTGGGCAAATTGTTTCAGTGCCTCATTACCCTCAGAGTAAAGATTTTCTTCCTAATATCTGACCTAAACCTACTCTAAGTTTAAAGCCATTCTCCTTTATCCTATCACTATATGTAAAGAAGTTCCTCTCCAACCCTCTTGTAGGTACTGGAAGGATGTTACAAGGTCTCCCAGACGTTCTCTTCTCCAGGCTGAACAGACCCAACTCTCTCAGCCTGTCTTCAAGGACAGCAGAGCCTTCAGAAAAGTGAATTCCTCCATCTTCTCGCTGGACTCTGAGCAGTGTTCAGTGACCAAGGCATGGGGTCTTGTACTGAGCACAGACCCAGAATAAATACTGAGCTTGTTAACTGAGCGCCGCCTGTTCCATGAGCTGGATGAGGCAGGGGTTCTGTGGGACAAACAGCGCAGGATTATGGTCATGTAACTGAAGACTGCTGCAATGTGTGTATGCACAGAGGGGTCAAACTGCAACTCCACAAGCCAGCTTAGCAGTGGCTTTTTCCAGTTTCTCAGCGCTTGATTTTGTCACCCTTAGTAATGATCTTTCACTGTGGTTTGTATAATGTCATTATGTACTCTTTGGTAAAGGATTGAAGCTGATGTGGCATTGTGGAACTCAGTGGAACCGCTTTTAATTGCTTCTGAGACATCACTGGTGTGAAGGAAGACAAAGGGTAGCAGGAGTAGACAAAAGGAATTATGAGATCTCTCATACTCCAGAACACATTCAGTGAGAAAGTGAAAAGGAAAAAAGAAATAATAAATTCCAAGTGCAATGCTTGCGTGTAAATGCAAACAAACCCATTTGTCTCCCTAAGACCCCAAACTTTGGGGAATTTTGCCTTCTGATCACGGTTCCAGCTTTGTGACTCAAGCATCATTCTCCAGATCTGCAGTGTATCTTCCCATTTATCTCTAACTAAGACAATTTCTGAGTCCTATATGAGTCATAAGTGTGTTTTATATAGAAACCAAAGAAGGTTCTTCCAGTCTCTCAGTAAGATATGCCGTGCTGCCAGGGAAGCACTTTTGGTTGTTCTGACAAGCAATTGTGACTGCTCTGAATTACCAGAAATACTGTCTGAAGAGCAAAAGGATCATTTGCCATCTAAATCCAAAAGGGTTTATAATGCAATCCTTGTACTGCCTGAATGCGTTGATCCCACCTTGCAATCACTGATATTAGGCTTTGCAAACTGGCCAGATCCCAGTGGGTATAATTTTCAGGCTGGCTAACTCGCAGGGTTCGAGTGATGCCACTCAGGGGCTCAGAGCCAGCGGAGCAGAGGGGGTGGCATGTAACACACGGGAAGGGGTCTGAGTCAAGGCTCCCGAGAGCAAGGAGACCTGCCTCCTCTCTCCTTCCTGCTTCTGGAAACCACTCCTTGCAAGCCGGGTCCGCTCACTGACAGCCACCTACCCTGCAGTTAGGTCCTGTCCTTTCTCAGCTGAGACAGGAGGGACAGGTGGCCCATGCCGGAAGCAGTGGCTGCGGCACAGGAGCAAGGGGGGGTTCCTGGTCCAGAGCCCAGAGCTGCCATGTGACAAACAGGAGGCCAGGTATTAACAGGTGGGTGAGAAGACAGGGGCTGGCTGCCTGCTCAGGGAAGCGGCCGTTTTAAAACCAAGGCGGCAAGGATCACAGGGAGAGCATGCACGGTGGGGAGGGCATATTTTGAAGAGGAGGAGGAAGGAGCTGTTTTGGAATTGGTGTAAAGCCATTTGTTTGGAGGGATGCCAGGGTAACAGTAGGTGCCCAGAACAAACGAGCGCAGCCATCCCAGCACTCAGAGCCTGCATGCTCGTCCTTCGCAGTACCTAAGTAGGTCAGCCCGTTTCTTCAACCTTTCCTCTTCCCTTTCTCACTTGCTCTCTTTGTGGGAGGTGGTGGTGGTGGTAGCAGAGGGGCTACACCCATTTTCACTGATTTCCAACACTGTCTACGTGTGAACAAGAGAAGCGGAGAGAAGCTAAAGCTGCTTTCTTATTAACAGCTGGTGACAGTCCCTTTACACAGTGTGTGTCGCATTTCTTAGCCGAGGTAGAAAGGAATGAAAGAGGAAGACAGTTATTTAAAGTTTAACATTACAGATGAATTACAAGGATATTCTGAGGCTCACAGTCCCCCTCAGCAATTCTGTGAGCCCTAAGGCTGGCCCTGCCACACCTTTGCAAGTGCCTATTTTAAGCAAGTGTGCTCATCGGGTTCGGGAGGACAACTGCTCCAAGTAATTCTGGGATGCAGGTTTCGCACCACAGGATGCCAGCGGGATCCAGTGAAGGTTATGGACTGTCTAGCCTGAACTCCATCTGTGCCCTGAAGTTTCCTCTTGGCTGGGCACCGCTGAAGGACCAGAAGCAGCCAGTAGGAAGCAGTAGGCACGGGGGCTCTTGGGGAATTTAAGCCATCTGAACGTGGCACTCAGTTTTTTAAGACAGCGTTTTTTTAAGCGCTGTGAACATATTGCACCCAATTATAATTGCATTATGTACTCTGTGCCGTGCTATGAGTGCATGCCTCCTCCTAGCTATGGAGGGGCAAATCTGACATACATACAACAAGTGCCCTGTTTTCTCCTATGCAGCTTCTCCCAGCCTGTGTATCACGATAGTATTTGCATGCCTCCCAGTAGGGCACTGAACTGTGTGGCTAACATCTGCCACATGTTGTTTGTTCTGTCCTCCTCTCCCAAGGAAGGAGGTGAGCGTAGTGGAGCATCTTGTTTTTGCAGCACATTTGTCTGGCTTTTGCTTTCCCTGCATGCAGAGCTATGTATTTGCATTAGTAAAAGTAAGGGCACAGAAATGTGTCCTGCAACTGAAAATGCTTTTATTTCAGTAAGGGGAATTATGGCTAATTAAGTCAAATTAAAAAGGGAAGGCAGACTTGATTTTCCTTATTCTCAACATACTCTGTTTGACAAATGGGTCTTAACCACAGATGACAGTATTAGCTTCAGCCTTTCAGACAAGGAAATCTTGGCTGCTATTCCCTCTGCCCATTTATCTATAATAAATTTAAAGACACATGTTCTCCCTCCCTGGACAAACACTTTTCAATTGTTTGGGGTTTTTTAATCTAACAGTAAAATCTCTTTACATATGTCTTTCTCTCCTTCTTTGAATAGACAGCCTTCTATGTGATACCTTCTGTGGATCTAGTCATATGGTAACACTGACTCTGGACACAGCTCTATTTTGTGGCACTTTGGGTCTGCACCCGGTTTAGTGTTAGGGACACTTCTGAAGCCTAGGAGCCTGGGTTATATGTGCTTCTATCTCTAGGGCTTTTTTTCACCTTTCCATTATGCTGGAGTTTATTAATAATCCTTACCCAAGCAAATAACTAGTATTAATCAAACAACAGTTCTGGTATTGTAGGGCGCACTGAAACATAGGACAGACTGACTTTTTGGAAAGAGAGGGAAAATCTGTATTTTGCCAGAAACTGAAACACCGTCTTGAGCCTGGAGGTAAAGTCCTACATAGAGGGTTGTGTGCATCCATGTTCCTGCTAACACTAAGCTGATTTACACGTGTTCCATGTGTAGTTTAAGATTACATTTTTTAAAGGGTCAGAGTGGCAATTTCTTTTCTTTAAGTTCCTGTAAAATGTTGTTTTTTATAATCCTTGCCACTGCCATCCAGGGTGCTCTGTGTCATCCTGCACTTGCCGACTTGATGTTACGACAAAAAGCAAATGCAGGTTCACAAAAGCATTGTATGAAGAAAATAGTGCCTTTGATTCTGGAGATTTGCCAGCCCAGCAGTATCAAAGTTGAGCCTTCCCTGGCCTCTGTTCCCGGGGCTGTGAGGTGTCAGGAGCCAGGCTGCAGTGACGGGGCCGGGACTCAGAGTGCCCGGGGTACGTGTACCGGCCCGGGCTGTGCCACCTCCGGGCGCCCAGCATGGCACGGCGCGTTCCTGTGCATTCAGCGCCCACCAAAAGACTGAGTCCTGGGCTTTGCATGAATACAAGACTGCCTTTCCCTCTCTGTGGCTGATATTTGAATTATAAAGTGACTTTTACAGGAGACAGAAGGCAACAGTGACAGCGAATACACTGAACACCAGGGTAAGGGCAATAGAAAGCCCACCCTGCAGTTTACCGGGGCTGGGTAAAGGAGCGAGCGCTGAGCTGGCCCCGAGCATGCTGCAGGGTGCCATAGCCTCCTGCGCTAGTCCTGGGCCTTTGGGAGAGCCCTTGGACACCGCTCTGGGCACAGCTGGCCACAGTCCCGGCCGAAACACTGCCCGGGCTCTCGCTGGCTGCCCGGCCCAGCTCCTGGCGAGGGCAGGAATCGGCACCGCGCTCGCAAGGGCTGGATGGCGTCCGCTCCTCGCCGCCTCCCCCACAAACAGTTGTTTGTCTTAAATTGGGATTTTTTTTTTCCCTGGGGCTGCCACAGATTTTCCACCTCCGGGGCCAACCAACGGCCAGGGACGGAGGCTCATTAGCGGCCATGAGGGCGGCCGTCCCCGCCAGTGCCAGGCCTGTCTGCTGAGGGAGGCGGGCGGCAGCTTCGCGTCAAATGCAAACAACCGTCCTTGTTTTCCTTGGTTGCCAGGGTAGGAGTTGACATTGTCCCCAGCGGAGCACAAGGACTCCCCGTGACATGGCGGGGACAATGGGAAGGTATGTTTTCTTGACCCGCTGCAGGAAATCCTGTGCGTCTTGCCGGGGGACGCAGCATTTTCCTGCCCTGTCCGTGGCCGGGCCGTGGCGCCGGGGCCCCGCAGCCTGCTCGAACCTGCCGGGCTCTGAGGCTCTCCTGAATCCAGGAGAGCAACCCTGCGCCGGGAGCTGGCAGGGCAGGACAGACCCTCCCCTCCGCGGCTGCCGGGACACTACGTGCTCGGAAGAGCCCTGAGCTTCGCAGCTCCTACCTGCGGCCATGCCTGGGGGCCGTGCTGTGCCTCCTCGCTGGAGCAGAGCCCACCGCTCCCAGTCGGCAGCACTGCTGCTGTTGATTAACTGATTTGGGTTGTTGTTTTTTCTTTAAAGAAACAATTCAGAAAGTGACGCATTACTTCTGCCTGTGGACAGAGGGAACAGCTGAAACGTGGGAGACCAGACTACAGCTGTGTGACTACAGCTTTTTTTCTTTCTTTTTTCTTTTTTTCGTTTCTCTCTTTTTTTTTTCTTTTTTTTTTTTTTTAACACATATTTTAGTGAATAAAAGCTACTGATTCTCTCTGCTGGTGTTTTGGACCTTATTTACTTCCCAAGGTGGTGGTAGTGGTGGTTGTAGTCACCAGATTGTGAAAGGAAGAGTGAGACAACAAGAGAAGCCACAACCTCTTCACTGCCGGGGGTCCATGCCGTGTTTAAACCACGGCAGTCACCCTGCTTGCCTTGGCTTCCTTGCCCCGCTCCGCTCAGGCATCCTTGTGTTCTCCTCTCAGTCATTACTTAGGGTCCTGTCCTGCAAAGCAGCCTAACTGCCGCAGATGATTGCATCCATCAGGAAGATGGTGACATTTATAAGACGTAAATATTCACAGGGATAAATTAGCCTCAGAAAGGTTTCTGTAGCCGTTTGGAAAACCCTCACACTCCAAGACCCATCAAACGTTTAGGGAATATGTGTGAAACAGGAAAAAGTAGAACAAAACCTTTTTTTTTTTCTATACTGTGGCATGTACAGAGGCAATGCCATTAAGACTGGGTGACATCCATCACAGAAACTGATTAGTTAAAACTCCAAATAACCCATTTACTGGCAGGTCCAGGGTAGCATTTTCACATGTTTCTCTTTCTTTTCCCAAATTCCTTGCCAAGCAGCTATGAATAAGGGCATCCCCAAAAACTTGGTGTGACCTGCAAAATTAATGCTGTGAGAAGGCTTCATTTGTTAAGAGAGTTCATCTGCAAAAGCTAGTGGGGCTGGCTGGAAGTCTCCCTCTACCTTTTCTCTGGTTTTCTTTGCCCTTTGGAAGAGATGTAGGAAGAGCAACATCTCCTGGAGACATTTGTTCTGGAATCATGTGATTCCTTGCACCTCCAAAATAACTTCCCTTGCAGAAATGCCTGCAATGGGTACATGCAGTTGGAGCAAGAGGGGCACCTCCTTGCCTACATGCTGTCTCCCAGCAGCAGTGCAACCTGGCAGCTCCCACAAGCACAATCTTACCATTAATCTATGGATCAGGGACACACACAGGCACAGGCTGATTCTCAAGAATGAGAGTGCACATTAGCAGGACCTCATGTAAACAGCTTCACAGAAATGATGTGCAATGTGCCAGTGGATCTCAACATGGGAAACTTTTATTGTGCCTCAGGTGTGGTTGGCTTCTGGTCCCAGTGTCAGAGGACAAGGAAATGTGTGCTGCCTTTCTGGACATCAAGCTTTAAACCTAGCAGGTAGAGAGTGAAAGAACACTGGAGCTGGGACTTTCCTCAAGCATTTCTACTGTTGTGGTGTGTACCAGAGAACATCTTCTGACATACCAATGTCTAATCATCTACTTCTCCAGCTGTCCGTCTTACTGACTCTGCATCCATCCCTGTGCCTGGAAGATGAGGCACCTCTTTGAAGAAGTGTTTGCACAAGGATCATACACATACATTGGGGAAGAGTTAGAAATGCTGAGAGATTTTGTTTTGTCCCCCATCTGGTGGTTCTTCCCCTCTCTGCATCTCCTCACTTGCTCTCATTCCTCATCTGTGCTTTGTCTCCCTCCTCACTGTGTGCCTTTGTTCATAACTGCCTGCCCTTCCTCTCTCTTTCTCAGCTTTTTTGCCTATTTCTGTAGTCCTGTAGCCCCTTCCTAGTGCTTGGAAAAAGAATATAAAAATTGCAGTTTCGACAGGAGAAGAAAGCAAACAGTTGCAATAAGCAACTCTTCTTCTTGGGAGCAGTCTGACCAGTGAGTCATTCCCAGGGCTTTTGAAATGACAACAGGCATCTCCTGCCTTTGCTGTTGCTGCCGTTGTGTTCCTCACAGCAATGCTTACCAGCCAGTGGAGAATGGGGCCCCCTTATGCTTGGTGCTGCATAAATCATTTTCTTTAGCCTGGGGGAAAAAGGAAAAAAAAAAACCCAAAAACCTAAAGAAGATGAATGCATGATTCAAGGATTTACTGCTCAGATTGCTTTGGGGGTCTTTTATTCCTCAACCTTTCCTGTGTTTCTCTCCCAGGCTGCCTCTCCTGCTGGCCTAGCCCTTAACCCCATCCCATCACTCTCTCTTATGTCTGGCTGCCCCCATCTGATTTACCTTCCACTCTCATTTGTCCCCTCCTTTGTCCATGTGCATGCTTCTCCTGCTGTCATTCCCTCTCCCTTGTGGCCAGATCCCCTGATTGCCTTCTCCATTCTGCAGTACTGGGTAGCTTTTCATCACCTTGCTGGTGGAATCAAGAGATGCAAAATATTCAGTGTGAGGTAGACACTGAATGGTTAAAACTTGGCAAAGTTATAGAAAACTGAAAACAGGCTCTCATAGCAGAAAGTGTCAGGTACCACCAGCTCCAGCTAAATTAAATTCTGTCCCTGTAGTGTATATGCACAGAGACATTTATATTCATATTTTTAACAGCCTTCTAAACTCTGCAGTTCACTGACAAACCCTTCATGAAGCTATCATTCCTTTTTTAACACCTGAACTTTAAAATGTCACATATAGCATTTAAAAGGACAGGCAAATAACCAAGGAAACATCCTAGCATGCATTTTGCTTTCCCTCCTTCTGGTTGATCTAAAGTCCATGGAAATCAATGGCAATCTTTCCATCTAGTTCAGCAGAGTTCGCAGTCGGTAGGTTGTTTCCTCCTAAAATTTCAGACAAAAAAGACCCCACACAAATGTGGGGTTTTTGGGTTTCCTTTTACTCACGTATCTGGCAAGACTGATGTGCTGTCAAATGATCTTTTCAGTGCTAAATATACACCATTAACTACTAATAAAAAAACCCCAGGCTTTAAACATTCAGCTTCTTTTGGCATCTGTACAGAGCATTCCACTTGATCTCACAAGATGTATGGTTTGCACTAGGATTGCAGTCACAGTTTTCTTGTTAAAGCTGTCAACCGTTCCAGTGTCTATCTTTACAATGCAATTCAAACCTTAGTTAGGAAAATAGGCAGTTCTCTTTGAACTATGATATTAAGATCCTTTAGCAGCCCTTTTCTGTATCCATTTGCGGTCTACAGCTCCTGTTAAAACTAGGTTGCAATGTGAAAACAAGGGAGGGAAGAGGCTTATCCCTTCTGTTTGAGACATTTCCTCTTAATGGCAGAGATACTGTGGACATTAAATGGTTCCTTAAACATGCTATTTATAGAAAAAAAACCCATTTTGTTAGAACCACTTACAAGGCAAAACTTCAGTATCTCATCTTGTTAAAGTTACGGAGGTAACTCCAGGACAGAACATTGCCACTTGACTATCTTAAAATCAGCAAAGAAATTATCTTGAACTTTAGGTGATTTGCCATAGGATTGCATTGGTATCAGGGTGGACTCATTAGCAGATATTTGTTAATGACATGAGAGAGGTAGAATCAAGCTGATAGTTGTTTTCTTGTGAAAACTGATCATGTTCTAAAGGTAAATGCCCAGAGCGTTTCTGACAAGCCAGTAAAAATCGTCAGTCAATATTGCATGAAGTAACTTAAAAGTAATGACATAAAGCGAAGAGAGAATACAGGTATGGGATAAACATATGTCTTCTAATGCTTAGGCTCCATGGGGAGCCCCCTTATCTGCTTCCATAAGGCGCCTTATTGTGCTTAAGTAATGGGTATTAGAAGCCAAGCAGTATGTTACATCTCCTCCTACATGGTACATTCCCATACTGCCTAGATACATATGAATCCTGCATGTCACATGTCATTACATTTTCTGAGACTATATCTTCATCCATGCTAAAAATACACAGAGAGAAAGAGAGAGAGAACTTCAGTGTAAGCAACAGATACTTCTGCACAGACCCTTGGCAATACCAATGACTGAGAAATTTACACATGTGTTTATTATTCATCATTGTTTGAGGAAGAGCATTTGTGAAGACAACCAGCCCTAGGGGTTTTCATGGTATGCACCTGCTAGGGGCTTACACCCATCCCAAGTGGGTGGTATCCAAGCTCGATACACTCAAATGAAGCCCCCTCCACCTGCCTTTTCATCTACATGGTGACCTGATTTTTTTTTCTGAAGTGCTTAGTTACAGAGCCATTCCCGTAAAAATAACTCCAGAGCTATCCATAAATACTCTCACTCAGAAATTCCAAGCAGTGAACAAATCTGTGAAACTCGTGACCTGCTGATGTCCTGCTCCTCTCCTATCGACACACAGGGACCGCAGAGCCCTGAGCCTGCCGTGGAGCGGAGCCACCTTCAGCAGCCTCTGCGCTGCCACCTCTCGCCTCTCCCGTCACACGGAGAGGGTCCCCAGTGCTCAGCCACCCACCAGCAGCGTGAGGTGGCCTCCAGGAGTCCACGTTGCAATAAGGATGTGAGGCAGACCCCTTGGACCAGACTCTACTCCCCTCCCCCAAAACCCAGGAAAATCATTAGTGGCCTAAAATCTCGCTCTAGCGGCTTCATCGCTGGCACTCTGGAGTTGGATTTGGTCTCCATATGAGAGACAGGGGAGGAGCAGTGGTCCCCTAGTGACATGTGTCAGGCAGGAACATGGCACATGCTCGGAGTACCCCCAGTGTCCCCGGGCTTTTGCACTTCTGCGTGAACAGCCGAATGGGCAGACCCCTCCTGCTCGGCTGCAGCAGATGGAGTAGTGAGGCAGGCTGCGTGTCTGCAGGGCTGGGCAGCAGAGCTGTGCTCTCGAGCTCCAACTAATGAAGCTGATTTGATGAGCTGATTATTCTTGTGTATTAGTGCATCGCTGACATGGTGCTCCATGCTGTACCAGACACAGAAGGAAGGGTACAACATGGGCCCCCTACCGAGCTTTCCACCTAGGCAAATGGACCAGACGATCCAGAAAGACAGGGTTCTGGATGACGAGGAGGAGACGGAGCCCCTCTTTGTAACAGAGCACTGCAGCTCTCTGAGCTGGAATGTAGCAGCATTCCTAATTTAGATACTCCGGTTGAATTTTAAGTGGAAGTGAACAAAACATTTGAAAAGCTGTCCCTGTTCTCTCAGCAGGGAGATTTCGAGAATTTTCTGGGTTTGGGGGAGAAATACTGGCACAAAAGCAGACAGTTTTCCCAGGTAGAAATTTGGTTCC